CCAAAACCTACTGATATCCGCATTATCATACGTGTTTTCCAAATCTGTAAACCTGCTTGAGAGTTTCACCTGATACTGTTCTTCAAACTTTGCATCGCTCAGCTTCTTGAGGTCAAACATCTGCACACAAAATTTCTCTGCTACTCATTTGCTTACCAACAGCTTCTGCCTACATTTTACAACCACCAATCAGGGATTTGTGGTCTGTAACAAAGTCAGTACCTCTGAAAGACCATACATGAAGCATACCTGACTGTCATCTTCTATCAAAACATAATCAATTGATTGTGTGTCTATCCATGAGGACAAGTTTAAATGTATTTATGGATTTTGCAATGAAAACATTTTACTCTTTGCAATTAGACAATGTATTACTCTAAACTCATTATTAATACCAGTTTCATGTAAAATCTCTTTTCCAACTGCTAGTTTGAAAATATTTTCCATCCACACCTTTACATTAAGAGCTCGTAACAAAATGTTCATCCACTATACCTATATAAACCACCTACTTTGTAACACTTCCACTTTAGCCCTGATTATGGAGGCAGTAATTTCCTCACAACGTTAGCACACGGCCAAAATACTACATGGTGCAACAACCCAGAAGATCACCTATATTCAATTGATTGATTCTGGTTACTACAAGTGATCAGGAGATATAAATGATGTCAACAGCTGGAACCTACTGCAACCCAACATAGAACATACGCCATGACCAAGTTCCTGGTATTTTCAAAATTCACAAAGATTTCTATTTATCAAGTGTGAGGTATGCGTAAGGCATGCAGAAAAGACCCATGCCAGAAATGGCAAGTCTTGAATTTGAGATCCTCAACAAAACAGTCCAGCAGAAACCACCAGCTCTTCTTGCGAAATGTAAAAATACCCACATGATTTTGAACAAAAAGCAGCAGAATAAGTTCAGATCCTAATGAAAGAGAGGAAAGTGGTACTTTAAAATCAAAATACACATAGAATATGGTATAACACAACATGATAAAAGAATGCATACTTACGAGGACTGGAATGTCTGTGTTAGTTCATGCTTCAGCTCGCCACGATGATTTATGGTGAAGATACGAAAGATTGGAATGCCAACTGCCCGATATGCCCACACATCCTGCACAAAGCAAGCAACAATATACTGACAAATCCAGCGCAAAAGTAAATAATGCTATCTTCCCGCATTTTCTGTATGCCAACACAGCCTGCACAGAAATAACAAAACGGTATGGCCAAACACTGTGCGCACAAATAATGCTATCATCGTACAACTTCCTCACAAAACAACTATTCTTTTGACTGAACACAGCCACCAAAACTCTCATGCAAAACATTTCAAGGTATTACAAGTAACAGGATTTAAGAATCAAAAGTTTTTGTTTCCAGAATGTAATAAGCTTTTTTTCTTTTGGACCTAGCTGCTTCATGCAGGGTTTACAACTTTATAGCAAACACTGTGACATTCACGTTTATAACCTCGGTGCGGTGACCAGTTATTCTGATTTTAATCTGTTGTAATTTTCCCTTCAGAACAATCACGGGACAGTATCTTAGAATAAGACACATCCTTCCTTCACTATTCATAATTATCATGTCACTTGATGGATCGTTATGTTAAATAAACCAACAAATATTATGAAGATGGCACTTCCAACAGTCTCTGCAGCACTGGAATCAAAACCAGTCTATATACGAGGGGCAGTCAAAAAGTTCCCAGAATTGTGGTATAGCACTGTAATGGTAGGACATATGGCAACGCTTACCTAATCACCTTCAAGGTAGGACCCTTGCGCACGCACACACTTGCTCCATCGATCCTGCCATTGTTGGAAGCACCGGCGGAAGGCTTCATTTGGAATCTTTGGCTAAACTCCGGATGATTCCAAACGAAGCCTTCCGCCGGTGCTTCCAACAATGGCAGGATCGATGGAGCAAGTGTGTGTGTGTGTGCGCAAGGGTCCTACTTTGAAGGTGATTAGGTAAGCGTTGCCATATGTCCTACCATTACAGTGCTATAACACAATTCTGGGAACTTTTTGACTGCCCTACGTAATTGTCTGAAACGTGTCACTATCACATGATACAATAACGCCTCACCTCTAAGGCAGCAAACAAAAGCATGTAGAATGTTATATAACAGGTGTGTTCTATACCACAATAACTAACTGAAACAAAAAATGATGAGACAGAAGAAAAGCAGACAGTGAACTCACATTAACTTTGTTCCCATAGCCAGCATAGAAGGGCTTGCTGTTGACTGGAAAGAGAGCCTGGATGTCCCTCAAGCAAGAGATCTTGAATTCTTCGGGTTTCTTTTCGATTACTTCCCTGCTCACAACAAACAAAATTTCAATTACATAAACAAACTGCAGTTCGTGACAAACTGCATAACCTATAGAAGGAAAAGAAAGCACATTTAAAATGAGAAATCTCTATGAAATCTGCTGTTCAAAATGATCTCAATAAAACTAAGAAGCTCTGGGAAGAGCTCGTTCAGATGCTTGTCTACATGGAGGGGCTAGCACAAATTACAAATTAATAATTTTCAATTTAGTGTTCCATTTCTGTACACAATTTTCACTAACACAGTTTTGACTGTTAAAATGCATCATGCACAACTACCAGCCCCCCCATATGCATATGCACACAACAGAGAGAGATCTCATAAGCAAGGAAAGCAAGGCAATAACAGTTAACAAACAAATTATTAAAATAATAAACTCAAACTGGGAATGTAAGCAATCCGCTCACCTATGGAATGCACTAATAAGACTGGTGGGGTTCAGAAGTAACGGACCATCAGGCAAAGACAGATCACCCTGCTTGATTGACCTCAGGTACTCCCGTGTAACACGAGCTTGGCCTGAAACAAATGAAAAGATACTCTGTGATAAGCACTGTGCTCTGAGGATTACACTCAAATACTACAAAAAGAAATTAAACAGAAATAAGATAATATCGTGCACAGGTTGTCCTGAGGAAAATAATTCAGAAGTTAATTTTACAATAATGTTGTAAAGGCAGAAACTCTTCATTGAATACAAAGTGAAATGACTCAAATTTAACAAAGTTTTTAATTTGAGAGTTCTATACTTAAAGGTGCAACCTGTCCCTTCAGGGTGGTTTCTGTTAGTCCTAACACAGCTTGAATACTGGAGGACCATTCTTTATCAGCTGTCCAGTGAAAATGCAAATATCCTCCATGCACAAGCTACAGATGCACTGTGCCATACATTCATTCGTGGGACACTGCTTTTATTTGTAAGTTTTAGTTACAATGAGATTCCACTGTCACTTTCAATGCCAACACCCCCACAATTAAGACAGTTATACCGGCTGCAGATAGCAGCTTCGGTTATGTACAACAAAGACGCGTGTTACTGAGCACACTCCGAAGACAGCTGACAAGTAATTCCAAGTGTTGAGTCTCTCAGTAAACTACACAGTCTCAAGCAGAATGAAATGAAAGTATTCATATGACAACGTTTAAACAGCATAAGCTTACCTATTGCCCGAGCAGAGAGGTAAAGAAGTCTGTAACCGTTGTTCTTGATTTTTGTAAAGAGCTGGGCCACCCCACTCTGAGCCCAGTCCTTGCCCACTATTGGCAAGATATGACCCAAAACATCAGACCTACATAAATGGCATTAAGCTTACTTAGAATGCTTTTCTCGAAAGCTCTTATACAACAAACTAGACTCAAGAGTAATTATGACACAGTATATGCCAAGTGCATTTTTAATATTTTATCATGTTATGTGTATGAAAGAATCTTGGGTTACAAGATGCGTCAGGTGGCCGAATGGTGAATAAACCATATCTTCTGCCAACGCTTCGAGAACAATCTCTGCTCTCGAAACGTTTGCAGAAGACAAGGTTTATTCACCATTCGGCCATCTGATGCAGCTTGTAACCTGAGAGTCTTTCGTCAACTTCAGTCGCCGCGAAAGCTTCACTTTATACATGTTATGTATACTTAATTAAATACAAGGAAAATATGATGCAAGAATTTGATGTACAGTCCACGACTGTAATCTTGAACCATTCGGCCATCTGATGCAGCTTGTAACCTGAGAGTCTTTCGTCAACTTCAGTCGCCGCGAAAGCTTCACTTTATACATGTTATGTATACTTAATTAAATACAAGGAAAATATGATGCAAGAATTTGATGTACAGTCCACGACTGTAATCTTGAGATTGTGGGGTGAGGAGGTGGGGTGAAGGAGGAAGGAGGAAGGACAAAAGATAGCGTCTGCCTTTAACGCTACAGACTTACTGCATTCCTTGCAAGTCTCAAGATTACAGTCGTGGACTGTATGGATGTAATATCTCTACTCTTGATTAACTCCATCAACAACAACAAAATCGTGGATGGCTATCATCTGGGTTGTTGCAATGTGCAGTCTGGTAGAAATTTACAAACGTTTTAGAGGTCTTTGCTGCATCTGTGATCAGGGTGATCAGTGATGATGGAGGCAGCAAGGACCTCTGAAACGTTGGTAAATTTCTACCAGACTACATGGCGTCACAACCCAGAAGACTGACCACCATGAAAACCTCAAATCCTACTTAATAAACTTGCAGCTGCATTAAATGAATGTTAAGACAAAAATGAAAGTGCACACCCAGAAACTCAATTCACGTCTTTCCAATTGCCTTATGACAATTATTACTGATTTAAAAACTTGTGGTAAAACTTACTTGGTAATGGTGCCATCAATGTCAGAGATGACAATCTTATCATCAAAGCGCCACTTGTATATATGACACTTGCATCTTGTAGTGCCTTGATATGCCGTTGTTACACTAAACACCACTTCATTGGCACCTTCGTTCAAGTTCAGGCTTGCCTGTTACATGAAAAACTTTTATAGTAACTCTTTCTGTCTTCGTGATACCTTTTTAACTCTTCCTGTGCTATTAATCATGTACCTCATCAACACCACAGTGACCTGTGACAAACTGATTCGGTATCCACTTCATAATTATGTTGCACATCGCTCATTGTCCGAGGTACATTTAATATTTAGCTGTACTGATGTGATCATGTGACTGGTAATAATTACACTAACAGACATCATTTCTTATTCGTTAGAGATAAGTGGCAGTGGCTGAGACTGAACCTGACACTCTTTGAACAATCGATTTGCAAGGTAAGCATCAGAACAACCAATCACACGAGTATGGGCATACAACCAGCAATTAAAACATCAAAAGATCAAAAACAAGACTGGAAAAGTAAAAACTTTGAATAAAATGACATGCAAAAGAAGTTCTTCGTGTCTGTACACCACTATTGCATTAATGTGATCCTGGGCCATTGTTCCCTTCTATAATTAATTCAAATATAGCAAGGCAACACAAAGCATTATGCAGATCTATGATCACAGCAGTTCTTTACACACAGCCAATATTTTATGCAAATTTTATTGTATTAAAATTTAATAAGAAATTTAGGTACAATAATTATATAAAATGTACTAATTACTAATTTAAACGGTGTGTGACTCAGCTCTGGGCACTTCATTCAGACTGCCAACACAATATGTTCCAGTGCTGCACAGCTTATTTCAACTGCATTCAGAGTTAGTTCCCCATCAAGACTAGTAAGTGCATGGCACTGCATTGTAATCTGTGCTCGCTGCTTATGTCATCTTATTTCTGTCATTGGCTGGTTAAAATTGCATGCAAAACACCAACTGGCCTCCCACAAATGTGTCACTAACCCTTATAACTGACAGCAAGTCAGTGACCTGCGTGTTTGAATTCCAGCCAATACGCAAAAACTTATTTTCGGCATGGAAGTTTCAGAGTTACGCCGAAAGTTGGCAAATTTAATTTGGTTCATAACAGTCTAATATAAACTCCACTGTACACAGAAACCAAATAATTATGATGATCATTCTTAAATGAGGCTCATCAAGTAAAAAGATTGGTATGGCACAAATTATAAATCACATAAGATTTATCTGAATTTTTTACAAAGTGGTGTGTAAATAAATAAAATTAAAATAATTTTGGTTTCTACTGCTGTACAATACAAAAGGCTTGTTTCAGTGTTATTGATCACATTTGGATACTTACAATTTGATCAGACGAAAGCCGCAGTGTTTTACGATATTTCTCTGTGTGGTCATAGTAACTGCGTCTCTGTATAGGCAGCTTCACGCTCTGTAATTTGGACCGGCCACTGTCTGACTCATCTGATGAGTTGGATCCACTGTACCCTTCTTCCTTCACCCTGTAAGTACAACAACCAACATGAATTCAGCCACACTGTATTGCACGCAATATTATTTATGGCGCTGTGCATGAAGTAAACATACACAGCAGACGTCATACCTTTCTATTTCTTTTCACAATTACTGAATGCATTTCAATTAAATTTAAAGTATCAGGGGGGCCAAAGTTATCAGTCATTTTTGCTTTTGATCACATTTGTCAAGAAGTTCAAATCAAACTTAAGTGTCACAAAAATGGTTTGTAATATAAAAAGAGATGGTCAACAATCCTTTTACTCCTGCAGTCAAACGACCCCGCATTACTGTACACACTTCAACATCTGACTCCACTTCACTCCACTCCTCTCCTTTCACTGCAACATGACTTTACTCTCTGAGCAAACAAAACACATTCTCGTTGGTGTGTACAGTGCTGCCAACTAATGTGACGAATTTAAAATTGTATAATTTCCAGCTGTTGAAAGTTTCATTTCTTGATTTTGACACGTGCAGGAACTATTTCATTGTAAAAAAGTGGTTTGTAAATATAATACTGGTTATGAGATAGGCATGCTGGTATTTTTTATGATTTTTACTTATACACAACTGACCCTAACAATGAGTTCAGATTTTTACCTTCAGATTACGTTATTTTAGGAAAGCAGTCAAAGCATCTTGATTGTTTGTTTGTTTGTTTGTTTGTTTGTCATCAGTCTTTCAACTGGTTTGATGTGGTCCTCCATTTTCACCTATCTTGCGCCAATCTCTGCATTTCCACATATTTTTTGCAGCCCACATCCTCAAAAATCTGCGTCACATATTCCAATCTTTGTCTCCCCCTACAATTCTTCCCAAATTAACCAATTCTGGGTGCCTCAGAATGTGTCCCACCATCCTATCTCTTCTTTTCGTTAGATTGTTCCCTAGACTTCTTCCTTGGCCTATCCAGTCTAAGACCAGCTCAAAGCATCTATGAACATGATGAATGGTCAATGAAATATAAGGAAAAATAGTTTCTGATATTTTTCAAAGTGAATCTGTAGTGCGATTAACTTTGACACATTAAATACGTATCAACACCAGACAAACCTCGTGGCCAATGAAAATGTAGCACAGCAATAAAATGCACTTATGTTCTCCACTGCACTACGCTGTATTACTTACTTACATTAAAAGCAAATGAAAAGCAGTTACTCACTCCTTCTGCCTATCCAAGTGTACAGGATCATCATGGAGCTTGTTCTCATCAGCGACTCCTGTTTCATCCATCTTGGTAAACAAATCAGCACCATCTGGAATATCGACTGACACTTCTTCACTTTGTTTTATGTGACCTTCATCTGTCATCTCTCCTTCTAACCTAGACACGCTCTGCTGCTCGCCCTCTGATGTCACCACCTGACGGACAAGTCAAAAAAAGTCACAACAAAGTCTCTGGTAAGCAAAATCAATGTGGTCACATCCATATTTATTGGTGTGTGTGTGTGTAATGAGTAAAATCCTGATGAATATCTTTGAAACTAATTACCATAGATAATACTGTGAAGACAAATCTTCCTCAGATTGGGATTATATTTTTCCTATAATATTTAATGACAGGCCTAAATGTCAGATGGTCTGGACCAAGATAAACTTTGTGACAACTGATAAGGAACTGCTAAGGTTTCTAGAATTTCCAGCAGTAACAATGCAGGCACTCTGCTAGTGTTGATATGTCAGTCTACATATGTTTTCCACCAAAGTCAACAGGCTTTTTTTTCTAGAAATTTAAATGTATTTTAATCAGTTTCCTTCCTTTGAATACATAGCAGAATCCCATATTGTGAATAAAAATAAATGACTTCATTTTAATCTTACACCCTTATAAATAAACACATAATTACCTCCTTGACATCAGACACTTTCTCAGTCTCTGGAGATGAAACATCACTGGTACAGAGGTTAGACGAGATCTTCTTAGGTTCGGAAGGGCGGCGCCAGTAGAACCACGATGAGTAACCTCTGGTTCCTCTGCTTGCTTCCTGCTGGTTTGCAGGTTTCTTTTGATTCTTCCCCTCTACGGGCATATATTCTGCCACTAAGCTGTCTACCACATCCTGGAACACGCATAAAAACCACAAATCCTCAGGTACAGCTCCAAATACATTCTTTGCTACTTTATACTCATTACTGCAGTCAGAAATCTACTATTGCAAAGCCATCACAGCGAGCAACTCACGCCTGTCCATATTCATGTTTATTTTTATTTTATTCTTGGTTTATTTAACCCTTCAATGATGCCCAGCGTACACAGCACGCTGGCAAATCTACCACACGTCACCATTCACATACACAGCACGTCCAGTGCATTGCAAGTTGTGGCTCATATTGATGGAGAATCAAAAGGAAAATTGGCTTTCACTCTGTGTATGCGTTGTGACACTTCATTTTTCCGTTACATTTATAATAAATTATAAGTCTCTGAAACTTCCTCTGCCTCACCAGTTGGTGCATCTCATTGTGGTCACAGCCTGTCTTTACCGCGAGTAATCCCTGTGAGCTTAATACACTAAATCAATGTGAATCAAAACTGAGATCAAGTGTGTGTTTTCTACATGCTGATCAAAAAAATCAACTTTTCTGAGCATTGGAGGCAACGTTTCAGTGTCCAGACAATGCTGCCTTTGTTTAGGTATTTGTAAATACAGAAACTTGAACACAGTTCTTACAGCGTTATCTTGACCCATGATTTTGACTCACACAGGTACGCTGAAAAACGTCCACTCACATACAAAATAGTAACAATTCTGAATAGTACTTCTGCTGTGCAGTTGCCCTTTTATATAGTTAGCAAGTAGAAGTCACAGCATCTACCTGCAGGAAGCAATCAGTTCTTCTGTGTGATGATGAAGTGGAAGAATGTTTACTTAGCAGGAAACATGAAGAAACTTCATGAGATTCTGAGACTGACAGTGACAATGAACTGGATGACCGTGCCCTTCTTGATATTACGGTGGATGGTGACAGTGATGAAGAAAATATTACTCAAGACTGTGTATGGGAGGACATTAAAAATTACATGCGACAAAGGTAAAATTTTGCCAGTAGTGCTGGACCTCAAGGTGCTGAAAACAGGTGACAGAAACTGCAGACATTTCCCAATTGCATCTGACCAAACAACTCATAGATAAAACTGTTAAAGACAGAAAAAGAAGAATTAAGCAGTTGCTACATAGGCATAAGTTATCAAGCAGGTCAGCTGCCAGGGCATGGGAACCTGTGAATTTTATATTCTCTTTATGGTAATGGTCATTACTCAAAAAACTACTTTTAGATCATACTTTATCACAAAAGGGCAAATTCCACGCCAAGATTTGGAGACATTGCAACACACGACTAACAAACTAATTTTGCTATCAATGAAACCATCAGCAAATTTCAAGGACCAAGGAAGCCTTCCAAAAGTTCCAGATTTCAGGAAATGTATTTATTAAATCAAGATATTTTGACTGATGAATCACTGATGATTATCAAAGGCTGTCTTTCAGACAGTTTGACCCTGTAAAAGGTTTCAAAATTTTCAATTAAAACGTATGAGTTATGTTATGCTACTGCTAGGTTCCTGTACACACAAGACTCAACTCCCCTTGATCGCAGCTAACACTAATAAAACAACAGGCATTATACTAAAATTTGTAAATTAAAAAAAATAATTTAATGTACCTGAGGCAGAGGTCTCTGGAAAACCACGAGTGACATTACAAGTGGGCAGGCCACTTTCCAATTGTAGTATTTTCCATTGAATCTCGCCACAAGATCTGGGTTGTCGATTAGCTTGGGATTCTGAAGCAGATCACTGTAGGTTACAAGACCCTGCAGGAAACTGTCCTCTGTGGGGCCTGACATGTTCCCATCAGCAGCTGTCAGGCCTCCACACAAAGACAGAGATATCTCACCATAAGACCTGCACACAACAGGCAACAAAATTATAATTTGGCCCTTTATGTGTCAATCTACAGACAGCAACCACACCATGATAATGGCATCATAATAAGACCTTTCAACTACCATAAGAACGACTCACTTCTTTTCAAAATCAGAATGTTTTAGTTCTTCATAAGCACTATCCAAGGATTTTGGACCACCAATAGCTCCCTCCACACTGTGCGGAGAATGTGGGAGTGAAGTTCCATTTCCAGATTCTGCATCTTCCTCATCTCGTGTCTCCACTGTAAAGAGAAGATAAAAATGAAGAAATGACACCAAACAACAGTTTCATGCATACACAATGGGATTCGTTTCTCTTCAAATGCAAAAATTCTGTGAACCAGATGCATCAACATGACAAACATTTATCATGCCACACTGTGACCTCCTACACTCACGCAAAGGATGTGAGAATTGTCAAACCAACTAGCATTTAACACCTTACATGGTACAGCAAACTCCATGATGCAGGTCTTCTTTTAAGCTGACAGTCACTTAGCTGGCCAAGGAATTATTTGATTTATGGAAGTTAAGCTCCTGTGTTTATCAACACAGAAAAATAACAATAAATGTGCTAGTAAACAATAAGAGAAAAGAACTTTCCTTAACAACACAAGTTGTGTGAGTATACAGTAAACATTTTCAACGTTGCTTATTTAGGAAAATAATCATCTACTTTCAGGGATTGGGACATTGACCCCTTCCGGGACAGCTGCTCAAGGCAACGTGTCCTTTAGTCTTTGAAGTGTGCATTTGTGAGTAGTACGTGTCCAGCCCACTGCCTCTGCACAATTTATACTCAATCCTGATATGTCTACTAGAGCCATCTAGTAGAGAATCAGGAGAGACATGGGTAAGAAATAGCTTACAAAGCATCTCGTTCATGCTCATAAGCTTCTTTTACATGCCATAAATCTATGACACGGGACTGCCGGCTTTACTTCCCCTCCAAAGAAAGTTGTGCTACAGATTTTTATTACCCTTAAAAATCCATCGACCTCGGCCGGGTTTGAACCTGCAAAATTTGGGTCCGGTGGCGAGCACGCTAACCACTAGACCACCGAGGGCGACACTTAGGAAAATATAGCACATAATCAACGTAAGTGCAGCCCAACAAACTACAAAACCTTTCAAATTCATGCAAAGTCAACTTTAATCATGCTCACTGATTCATGCCTCCAGGGACCTAAATTAAAGACATTTATATTCTGCTCCTGGTAATTGTGGAAATGATGGTGATGATGGTCAGCAGATGGACTCTGAACCACGATGGGGGGCCTGGACTTCGTCACAAAGAGAAAATTTTGATAAAGCTTATAGGTTTCTGCCAATGGTAAATTAAATTCCATTAAACCGCTCCTTTGGACTCTGTCCACTGTCTAAATCATAAAATTACGTTTTGAAAGCTGAATTCTGCTTTTGTTGTCAGGTAAAAAAGGGGACAGAAGTGCATGAGAGTAATCTGTTAGGCCCCCTGGTTAGCTAGCCTGACCTGGACAGCATCAACATTGAATTGGCTGGTATAAGACATTATCAAACATCTATGAGAGATAATTCATAATTTGTATAATATCTAGCAAACCCGTCTATAAGAAATAATAAATATGACCCAAATTCCCAACTTGTGTACTACTGTAAATTTATAAAATATAAAGTTTGGAAGCAGCATGCACATCTAAGATCTGCTATATTAATATAAGATATAATTAAAAGGACAAAAGAAGACAATGATTACAACAAATGAGAAACAAAATCACAATCAATAAAAGATCAGTAAGTTCAGTAAGACCGGTTCCATTGAAAATATAAATATATAAAAGTGGGAACAATATGCACATGATAAAAGAATTATGATTGGTTACAAGTAGATTTAAAGAGCATAAGAAAACAGGAGAAACAAGAAGAGTGTAACTGATGCAAAATCAATAACCTTTAACACGACCAATTCCAATGCACAGAACAAAAACTACTAGCAACGTGCAACAACTCCACTACAGCACAATTTCCACCCTTGTGTCTCGATGCTCATCCACTTGTACACTGGCTAGCATATGCATGTTCCGTGTCAGTGATTCACTGTACAACACTCCGTATCATGTAAGACACTGCACGCTGCTCTGGGTATTTATTGTACCTGACGTTTTGAGAGTTGGTTCTACAACCATCTCAAGGCGACTTCTTGTCTTTATACTGACAGATGTTTCCTTTTAAAGTTAGTGGCAATGGTTTAGCCGAAATTCAGCACCTACTGAATACTAGATTAGTATGATAACCATTTCAAGCACCGGGAAACCTGATTAGAAAACTAGCACAGCACCTATTTGATGCCAACTATTACCATTAATCTTAAAACAAAATATAAATTGCCAGAATAACTACATAAACATATGAGCAGAGCCAACTAAAAAATCTGTGTATATCAAACACACCAGGCAAAGGACGATGTCAAACTACGTAACTCTATGAGTGGCATTTGTAATGTAACAGAAGCAGGGGTAAGGTGAGGTGTGGCACCTACCTGAAGCATGGTGGGCTGCGTGCCCACCCTGACGGTAAGAGGTAGGAAAGTAGAGAGCTGCAACTTCTGGATCCAACTCTTCTGAATTCAGATCTGACAGGTAAATGCCCTCCGATTCTGGATTGTGCCTGATCCGTTTGGTCTTCTTCATGAAGCTGAACATTCCGCTTAGCATCGAGCGCTGAGCTTCAGCCTCTGCTGCGGTCACTACGAGGAAAACAATCTGACCCATCAGCTTTGAACTAAAAGCCATAAACCAGCTTTGCCACCCGTATTTTCAGAAAGCACCCTAGCAAAAGTGAAAACATTAAAGAAATTTGTGTTTACACTAATTCCAGCTGTGTTCATACCAACAGAACAAGTAACACAAAAATTAATACAGTTAGTACAGAGAAAAAGTTTCAGTATATAACTTTGTTTCATATTAATAAATTGTAATGATATCTAACAATGGTAATATATCGATAAATCTTAATTATCTGATTTCTAAATTCATAAATTTTGTAAGTACTATTACTCTACAACTATTGTAAACATTTGTCTGGTTACAATGATATCTTGCAATCTGTCTTCATGTGGTTTGGATTGCACACCTTACAACCAAGAGTAGGTATGAAAACACGTTCCACATATGGGATTTCCAAAAACTATGAAGTCAAGCTACAACTGGAGCATGAGCCTGACCACTCGCCTCCCTCCATCTGCAACTTCAAGGCACGGTGCTTGCTGACACACCGCTACACTTATAAGTGCTCACCTTCCTGTTGCCTTATGTTCCCTTCCCTCTCACTAGACAAAACTGGCTCAGGATCAGCAAGCTCCACTGCGTTAACAGACATCTGTGAGTTGTGCGATGTGAGCAGCGACCGTGGTGGAGGTGACGGCAGTTCGCCCCACCTCCATGACTGTCCATGCAGAGCAGATTTCCTAGCCCCCTCGTCTTCTTCCTCGCTTACGGCTTTTGACTGACGATTGATTTCAAACTCTGTATCGGACTGAACAGGCGAGCAAGGCCGTGAGTCATGGGGTCTGTGAACATTATGTACAAAAAATCAAGATGTGGGTTTAGCCTTACAGTACTGCGTGGTCTCCCCTGTGAAGCTCACACATACTCAGCTGATCAAGAGACACCCCCCCCCCCCCCCC